CAAACAAATTAGGCCCTAACACCAGACAAACAAATTAGGCCCTAACACTGAGACAAACAAATTAGGCCCTAACACCAGACAAACAAATTAGGCCCTAACACCAGACAAACAAATTAGGCCCTAACACCAGACAAACAAATTAGACCCTAACACCAGACAAATTAGGCCCTAACACCAGACAAACAAATTAGGCCCTAACACCAGACAAACAAATTAGGCCCTAACACTGAGACAATCAAATTAGGCCCTAACACCAGACAAACAAATTAGGCCCTAACACCAGACAAACAAATTAGGCCCTAACACCAGACAAACAAATTAGGCCCTAACACCAGACAAACAGATTAGGCCCTAACACCAGACAAACAAATTAGGCCCTAACACCAGACAAATAAACTAGGCCCTAACACTGAGACAAACAAATTAGGCCCTAACACCAGACAAACAAATTAGGCCCTAACACAAGACAAACAAATTAGGCCCTAACACCAGACAAACAAATTAGACCCTAACACCAGACAAACAAATTAGGCCCTAACACCAGACAAACAAATTAGGCCCTAACACCAGACAAACAAATTAGGCCCTAACACCAGACAAACAAATTAGACCATAACACCAGACAAACAAATTAGGCCCTAACACTGAGACAAACAAATTAGGCCCTAACACCAGACAAACAAATTAGGCCCTAACACCAGACAAACAAATTAGGCCCTAACACCAGACAAACAAATTAGACCATAACACCAGACAAACAAATTAGGCCCTAACACCAGACAAACAAATTAGGCCCTAACACCAGACAAACAAATTAGGCCCTAACACTGAGACAAACAAATTAGGCCCTAACACCAGACAAACAAATTAGGCCCTAACACCAGACAAACAAATTAGGCCCTAACACCAGACAAACAAATTAGACCCTAACACCAGACAAATTAGGCCCTAACACCAGACAAACAAATTAGGCCCTAACACCAGACAAACAAATTAGGCCCTAACACTGAGACAAACAAATTAGGCCCTAACACCAGACAAACAAATTAGACCATAACACCAGACAAACAAATTAGGCCCTAACAAAAGACAAACAAATTAGGCCCTAACACCAGACAAACAAATTAGACCCTAACACCAGACAAATTAGGCCCTAACACCAGACAAACAAATTAGGCCCTAACACCAGACAAACAAATTAGGCCCTAACACTGAGACAATCAAATTAGGCCCTAACACCAGACAAACAAATTAGGCCCTAACACCAGACAAACAAATTAGGCCCTAACACCAGACAAACAAATTAGGCCCTAACACTGAGGCAAACAAATTAGGCCCTAACACAAGACAAACAAATTAGGCCCTAACACCAGACAAACAAATTAGGCCCTAACACCAGACAAACAAATTAGGCCCTAACACTGAGACAAACAAATTAGGCCCTAACACCAGACAAACAAATTAGGCCCTAACACCAGACAAACAAATTAGGCCCTAACACCAGACAAACAAATTAGACCCTAACACCAGACAAATTAGGCCCTAACACCAGACAAACAAATTAGGCCCTAACACCAGACAAACAAATTAGGCCCTAACACTGAGACAATCAAATTAGGCCCTAACACCAGACAAACAAATTAGGCCCTAACACCAGACAAACAAATTAGGCCCTAACACCAGACAAACAAATTAGGCCCTAACACCAGACAAACAGATTAGGCCCTAACACCAGACAAACAAATTAGGCCCTAACACCAGACAAACAAACTAGGCCCTAACACTGAGACAAACAAATTAGGCCCTAACACCAGACAAACAAATTAGGCCCTAACACAAGACAAACAAATTAGGCCCTAACACCAGACAAACAAATTAGACCATAACACCAGACAAACAAATTAGGCCCTAACACCAGACAAACAAATTAGGCCCTAACACCAGACAAACAAATTAGGCCCTAACACCAGACAAACAAATTAGACCATAACACCAGACAAACAAATTAGGCCCTAACACTGAGACAAACAAATTAGGCCCTAACACCAGACAAACAAATTAGGCCCTAACACCAGACAAACAAATTAGGCCCTAACACCAGACAAACAAATTAGACCATAACACCAGACAAACAAATTAGGCCCTAACACCAGACAAACAAATTAGGCCCTAACACCAGACAAACAAATTAGGCCCTAACACTGAGACAAACAAATTAGGCCCTAACACCAGACAAACAAATTAGGCCCTAACACCAGACAAACAAATTAGGCCCTAACACCAGACAAACAAATTAGACCCTAACACCAGACAAATTAGGCCCTAACACCAGACAAACAAATTAGGCCCTAACACCAGACAAACAAATTAGGCCCTAACACTGAGACAATCAAATTAGGCCCTAACACCAGACAAACAAATTAGGCCCTAACACCAGACAAACAAATTAGGCCCTAACACCAGACAAACAAATTAGGCCCTAACACCAGACAAACAAATTAGGCCCTAACACTGAGACAAACAAATTAGGCCCTAACACCAGACAAACAAATTAGGCCCTAACACTGAGACAAACAAATTAGGCCCTAACACCAGACAAACAAATTAGGCCCTAACACAAGACAAACAAATTAGGCCCTAACACCACACAAACAAATTAGACCATAACACCAGACAAACAAATTAGGCCCTAACACCAGACAAACAAATTAGGCCCTAACACCAGACAAACAAATTAGGCCCTAACACCAGACAAACAAATTAGACCATAACACCAGACAAACAAATTAGGCCCTAACACTGAGACAATCAAATTAGGCCCTAACACCAGACAAACAAATTAGACCATAACACCAGACAAACAAATTAGGCCCTAACACCAGACAAACAAATTAGGCCCTAACACTGAGACAAACAAATTAGGCCCTAACACCAGACAAACAAATTAGACCATAACACCAGACAAACAAATTAGGCCCTAACACCAGACAAACAAATTAGGCCCTAACACCAGACAAACAAATTAGGCCCTAACACCAGACAAACAAATTAGGCCCTAACACCAGACAAACAAATTAGGCCCTAACACCAGACAAACAAATTAGACCCTAACACCAGACAAATTAGGCCCTAACACCAGACAAACAAATTAGGCCCTAACACCAGACAAACAAATAAGGCCCTAACACCAGACAAACAAATTAGGCCCTAACACTGAGACAATCAAATTAGGCCCTAACACCAGACAAACAAATTAGGCCCTAACACCAGACAAACAAATTAGGCCCTAACACCAGACAAACAAATTAGGCCCTAACACTGAGACAAACAAATTAGGCCCTAACACCAGACAAACAAATTAGGCCCTAACACCAGACAAACAAATTAGGCCCTAACACTGAGACAAACAAATTAGGCCCTAACACCAGACAAACAAATTAGGCCCTAACACCAGACAAACAAATTAGGCCCTAACACTGAGACAAACAAATTAGGCCCTAACACCAGACAAACAAATTAGGCCCTAACACTGAGACAAACAAATTAGGCCCTAACACTGAGACAAACAAATTAGGCCCTAACACCAGACAAACAAATTAGGCCCTAACACCAGACAAACAAATTAGGCCCTAACACTGAGACAAACAAATTAGGCCCTAACACTGAGACAAACAAATTAGGCCCTAACACTGAGACAATCAAATTAGGCCCTAACACCAGACAAACAAATTAGGCCCTAAAACCAGACAAACAAATTAGGCCCTAACACCAGACAAACAAATTAGGCCCTAACACCAGACAAACAAATTAGGCCCTAACACCAGACAAACAAATTAGGCCCTAACACCAGACAAACAAATTAGACCATAACACCAGACAAACAAATTAGGCCCTAACACTGAGACAAACAAATTAGGCCCTAACACCAGACAAACAAATTAGGCCCTAACACTGAGACAAACAAATTAGGCCCTAACACCAGACAAACAAATTAGGCCCTAACACCAGACAAACAAATTAGACCCTAACACCAGACAAATTATGCCCTAACACCAGACAAACAAATTAGGCCCTAACACCAGACAAACAAATTAGGCCCTAACACCAGACAAACAAATTAGGCCCTAACACCAGACAAACAAATTAGGCCCTAACACCAGACAAACAAATTAGGCCCTAACACCAGACAAACAAATTAGGCCCTAACACCAGACAAGCAAATTAGGCCCTAACACTGAGACAAACAAATTAGGCCCTAACACCAGACAAACAAATTAGGCCCTAACACCAGACAAACAAATTAGGCCCTAACACCAGACAAACTTATTAGGCCCTAACACTGAGACAATCAAATTAGGCCCTAACACCAGACAAACAAATTAGGCCCTAACACCAGACAAACAAATTAGGCCCTAACACCAGACAAACAAATTAGGCCCTAACACCAGACAAACAAATTAGGCCCTAACACCAGACAAACAAATTAGGCCCTAACACCAGACAAACAAATTAGGCCCTAACACCAGACAAACAAATTAGGCCCTAACACCAGACAAACAAATTAGGCCCTAACACAAGACAAACAAATTAGGCCCTAACACCAAACAAACAAACTACGCCCTAACTTGTGTCAAACACACTAGAAAATAAAAAAACAGATATTGTAACTAAATATTAAGATAAAGACAACAGCACACATGAATGGTTAAAATGGCAAAATGAGATCTGTCAGATAGTTATATGTGTATGTGTCCTGTCAGATATAGTCATTTGTATGTGTACAGTCATATGTGTGTGTTCTCTCTCAGATAGTCCTATGTGTGTGTTCTCTCTCAGATAGTCCTATGTGTGTGTTCTCTCTCAGATAGTCATGTGTGTGTTCTCTCTCAGATAGTCCTATATGTGTGTTCTCTCTCAGATAGTCCTATATGTGTGTTCTCTCTCAGATAGTCCTCTGTAAATGTGCCTATAAGTGATGTTAAACACAACTGTAGCTTCACCTTCTCTGGGGTGGGGGCTCCTTCAGCCTTAGGTATACTGGTGTGTGTGGCCGCTAATGACTTGCCTATACCCCTCACTCTTATGTCATCCACAAATATTTTTCTATCTTTCAAAGTGAAGCCAAATTCATTCTGGTACCTGCAGTTGATAACAGTAAATTATATCACAAGCAGGGTGGCAAGAAACATTTCAACCACACAGGTGAATCTGGATCAAGCTATTGAAAGTGTATTAACACTCTATTTTAAGTCTTATAATTTTATTTAATTAACAATTAAATATCAGGGACACATACACTATAGTTGCATTCAGTGTAGGTCAGTTATAAAACTTACCTAAAAATATACCTGTTTATAAAAACTGACCTGTTTATAAAAACTGACCTGTTTATACAAAAACTGACCTATTTATACAAAAACTGACCTGTTTATAAAAACTGACCTGTTTATAAAAACTGACCTGTTTATAAAAACTGACCTGTTTATACAAAAACTGACCTATTTATAAAAAAACTGACCTGTTTTTAAAAACTGACCTGTTTATAAAAACTGACCTGTTTATAAAAACTGACCTGTTTATAAAAACTGACCTGTTTATAAAAACTGACCTGTTTATAAAAACTGACCTGTTTATAAAAACTGACCTGTTTATAAAAACTGACCTGTTTATAAAAACTGACCTGTTTATAAAAGCAGCCTGGAAATCCCCCAAAGAACTGGAACCTTCTCTGGCAGGGAACTGGTTAGAACACATGAGGGCGCAGTCTGTTCCTTCATAGCGCAGGTGGAGGAAGGGCTGGGTCTCAACCTGGTGCCTGGGGAATGTGTTATTCAATAAATCTTTGGTCAATCAACATTTTTTAATATATCCTAACCCAAATAAAGTGATGTAATGAAGTTTGTTAAATCACATGAATCAAACGAACATGTCAAAGCCTTGCTCTAGAAGAACTTGTTCACATTTTGATTTCAATGCATCAAGTTTTTCATCTAGTTTCTGCACGTTTTCTGCAAGTATCAACGGTTTGATCAGAATTAAAGAAGAATTTATAAGCATTTATTTCAATGTGGTTCAAGTCAGAAGAAAACATTGGACTTGTCAAAATCCCAAGTTACACAATGGAGAGGAAAGTTTGCAAGCTGAAGTGTCAAGGGCAGGTAAAGCTAGTGACAACAGGTAGAATGTCCTGTCAAGGGGAGGTAAGGCTAGTGACAACAGGTAGAATGTCCTGTCAAGGGGAGGTAAAGCTAGTTACAACAGGTAGAATGTCCTGTCAAGGGCAGGTAAAGCTAGTGACAACAGGTAGAATGTCCTGTCAAGGGGAGGTAAAGCTAGTTACAACAGGTAGAATGTCCTGTCAAGGAGAGGTAAAGCTAGTGACAACAGGTAGAATGTCCTGTCAAGGGGAGGTAAAGCTAGTGACAACAGAATGTCCTATCAAGGAGAGGTAAAGCTAGAGACAACAGGAAGAACGTCCTGTCAAGGAGAGGTAAAGCTAGTGACAACAGGTAGAATGTCCTGTCAAGGAGAGGTAAAGCTAGAGACAACAGGAAGAACGTCCTGTCAAGGAGAGGTAAAGCTAGTGACAACAGAATGTCCTATCAAGGAGAGGTAAAGCTAGAGACAACAGGAAGAACGTCCTGTCAAGGAGAGGTAAAGCTAGTGACAACAGGTAGAATGTCCTGTCAAGGAGAGGTAAAGCTAGTGACAACAGAATGTCCTGTCAAGGGGAGGTAAAGCTAGTGACAACAGGTAGAATGTCCTGTCAAGGAGAGGTAAAGCTAGTGACAACAGGTAGAATGTCCTGTCAAGGGGAGGTAAAGCTAGTGACAACAGGTAGAATGTCCTGTCAAGGGGAGGTAAAGCTAGTGACAACAGAATGTCCTGTCAAGGAGAGGTAAAGCTAGTGACAACAGGTAGAATGTCCTGTCAAGGAGAGGTAAAGCTAGTGACAACAGAATGTCCTGTCAAGGAGAGGTAAAGCTAGTGACAACAGGTAGAATGTCCTGTCAAGGAGAGGTAAAGCTAGTGACAACAGAATGTCCTGTCAAGGAGAGGTAAAGCTTGTGACAACAGGTAGAATGTCCTGTCAAGGGGAGGTAAAGCTAGTGACAACAGGTAGAATGTCCTCACCTGCACTGTATGTTAGAGAACAGGGTTCCTGTGCCTCGTACACAACATCTGCTAGAGCCATGCCGTATGCAGACAGAATACCAGCGTATCTGGACATACAATTAACACCAGTTGAAAACTTTATGGTGACACCACAGTAAAAACCAGGGACATGATGACATAAGTGTGTGGACAGCCTAGAGCACCAACCTGTGTATGAAGACCTCCTGCATGCCTAGAGAGTGAGCTATAGCACAAGCGTGTTGTCCTCCTGCCCCACCAAAACACGCTAAGATGTGACGAGATGTGTCATAACCTTTGGCCTAGAAGTGTAATAAAACCAGAGACCATTCAAGCTTTGACATCAAATGCTTTCATTCTTCCATCAAATGTTTGCTTGTGTACATTTATAAAGAGAAACAAGCTAGGCATCAGAAAGGTTATAAGCCAAAGATAGAGGGCGATTGAATATGTCAATTTGTACCTGAGTTAAAGCCCTGATTGGCCGACACATTGTTTCATTAGCCACACGGATAAAACCCAGCGCTACTTCTTCTCTGCTCATTGGTGTAAATGGGGAGTCTTCATTGTGTTGACTCGTCAGAAAAGCATTCACCTGGATTTTTTAAAGCGCTTTAAGTGAGTTATCGCTAATAATAAACTAAATGTGTTCATCAAGAGAACCACCAGCTCCTATCTCAAATTATTTTAAAAACAGAATTTAAAAAAAAAAAAAAAACCTCACTTAAAGTTTATTTTGAACAATTAGCTGTTTGTACCTCAGCTGTCAGCTTATCAAAAGCTTCCATAGTGGCTTGCTTGTCTAGTGGCATGTTTTCATCTTTACCAAAAATACAAGGAAAAAATTCTGGCAGCAGCCGCCCTAGACAAAGGTTGGCATCCGTGATTGTGAGGGGCCCACCTAATGATTAGAAAAAAGGTTGGCATCAGTGATTGTGAGGGGCCCACCTAATGATTAGAGAAAAAGTTGGCATCAGTGATTGTGAGGGGCCCACCTAATGATTAGAGAAAAGGTTGGCATCCGTGATTGTGAGGGGCCCACCTAATGATTAGAGAAAAGGCATCCGTGATTGTGAGGGGCCCACCTAATGATTAGAGAAAAGGTTGGCATCCGTGATTGTGAGGGGCCCACCTAATGATTAGAGAAAAGGTTGGCATCCGTGATTGTGAGGGGCCCACCTAATGATTAGAGAAAAGGTATCTGTGATTGTGAGGGGCCCACCTAATGATTAGAGAAAAGGTTGGCATCCGTGATTGTGAGGGGCCCACCTAATGATTAGAGAAAAGGCATCAGTGATTGTGAGGGGCCCACCTAATGATTAGAGAAAAGGTTGGCATCCGTGATTGTGAGGGGCCCACCTAATGATTAGAGAAAAGGTTGGCATCCGTGATTGTGAGGGGCCCACCTAATGATTAGAGATAAGGTATCCGTGATTGTGAGGGGCCCACCTAATGATTAGAGAAAAGGTTGGCATCAGTGATTGTGAGGGGCCCACCTAATGATTAGAGAAAAGGTTGGCATCAGTGATTGTGAGGGGCCCACCTAATGATTAGAGAAAAGGTTGGCATCCGTGATTGTGAGGGGCCCACCTAATGATTAGAGAAAAGGTTGGCATCCGTGATTGTGAGGGGCCCACCTAATGATTAGAGAAAAGGTTGGCATCCGTGATTGTGAGGGGCCCACTTAATGATTAGAGAAAAGGTTGGCATCCGTGATTGTGAGGGGCCCATCTAATGATTAGAGAAAAGGTATCCGTGATTGTGAGGGGCCCACCTAATGATTAGAGAAAAGGTTGGCATCAGTGATTGTGAGGGGCCCACCTAATGATTAGAGAAAAGGTTGGCATCAGTGATTGTGAGGGGCCCACCTAATGATTAGAGAAAAGGTTGGCATCCGTGATTGTGAGGGGCCCACCTAATGATTAGAGAAAAGGTTGGCATCCGTGATTGTGAGGGGCCCACCTAATGATTAGAGAAAAGGTTGGCATCCGTGATTGTGAGGGGCCCACCTAATGATTAGAGAAAAGGTTGGCATCCGTGATTGTGAGGGGCCCACCTAATGATTAGAGAAAAGGTATACGTGATTGTGAGGGGCCCACCTAATGATTAGAGAAAAGGCATCAGTGATTGTGAGGGGCCCATCTAATGATTAGAGAAAAGGTATCTGTGATTGTGAGGGGCCCACCTAATGATTAGAGAAAAGGTATCTGTGATTGTGAGGGGCCCACCTAATGATTAGAGAAAAGGTTGGCATCCGTGATTGTGAGGGGCCCACCTAATGATTAGAGAAAAGGTTGGCATCCGTGATTGTGAGGGGCCCACCTAATGATTAGAGAAAAGGTTGGCATCCGTGACTGTGAGGGGCCCACCTAATGATTAGAGAAAAGGTATCCGTGATTGTAAGGGGCCCACCTAATGATTAGAGAAAAGGCATCAGTGATTGTGAGGGGCCCATCTAATGATTAGAGAAAAGGTATCTGTGATTGTGAGGGGCCCACCTAATGATTAGAGAAAAGGTATCTGTGATTGTGAGGGGCCCACCTAATGATTAGAGAAAAGGCATTCGTGATTGTGAGGGGCCCACCTAATGATTAGAGAAAAGGTATCTGTGATTGTGAGGGGCCCACCTAATGATTAGAGAAAAGGTTGGCATCAGTGATTGTGAGGGGCCCACTTAATGATTAGAGAAAAGGCATCTGTGATTGTGAGGGGCCCACCTAATGATTAGAGAAAAGGTATCTGTGATTGTGAGGGGCCCACCTAATGATTAGAGAAAAGGTTGGCATCCGTGATTGTGAGGGGCCCACCTAAAGATTAGAGAAAAGGTTGGCATCCGTGATTGTGAGGGGCCCACCTAATGATTAGAGAAAAGGTATCAGTGATTGTGAGGGGCCCACCTAATGATTAGAGAAAAGGCATTCGTGATTGTGAGGGGCCCACCTAATGATTAGAGAAAAGGTATCTGTGATTGTGAGGGGCCCACCTAATGATTAGAGAAAAGGTTGGCATCCGTGATTGTGAGGGGCCCACCTAATGATTAGAGAAAAGGTATCTGTGATTGTGAGGGGCCCACCTAAAGATTAGAGAAAAGGTTGGCATCCGTGATTGTGAGGGGCCCACCTAATGATTAGAGAAAAGGTATCAGTGATTGTGAGGGGCCCACCTAATGATTAGAGAAAAGGCATTCGTGATTGTGAGGGGCCCACCTAATGATTAGAGAAAAGGTATCTGTGATTGTGAGGGGCCCACCTAATGATTAGAGAAAAGGTTGGCATCCGTGATTGTGAGGGGCCCACCTAATGATTAGAGAAAAGGCATCAGTGATTGTGAGGGGCCCACCTAATGATTAGAGAAAAGGTTGGCATCTGTGATTGTGAGGGGCCCACCTAATGATTAGAGAAAAGGCATTCGTGATTGTGAGGGGCCCACCTAATGATTAGAGAAAAGGTATCTGTGATTGTGAGGGGCCCACCTAATGATTAGAGAAAAGGTTGGCATCCGTGATTGTGAGGGGCCCACCTAATGATTAGAGAAAAGGTTGGCATCTGTGATTGTGAGGGGCCCACCTAATTATTAGAGAAAAGGCATCCGTGATTGTGAGGGGCCCACCTAATGATTAGAGAAAAGGCATCAGTGATTGTGAGGGGCCCACCTAATGATTAGAGAAAAGGTTGGCATCTGTGATTGTGAGGGGCCCACCTAATGATTAGAGAAAAGGCATTCGTGATTGTGAGGGGCCCACCTAATGATTAGAGAAAAGGTATCTGTGATTGTGAGGGGCCCACCTAATGATTAGAGAAAAGGTTGGCATCCGTGATTGTGAGGGGCCCACCTAATGATTAGAGAAAAGGCATCAGTGATTGTGAGGGGCCCACCTAATGATTAGAAAAAAGGTTGGCATCTGTGATTGTGAGGGGCCCACCTAATGATTAGAGAAAAGGTATCATTGATTGTGAGGGGCCCACCTAATGATTAGAGAAAAGGTTGGCATCTGTGATTGTGAGGGGCCCACCTAATTATTAGAGAAAAGGCATCCGTGATTGTGAGGGGCCCACCTAATGATTAGAGAAAAGGCATCAGTGATTGTGAGGGGCCCACCTAATGATTAGAGAAAAGGTTGGCATCTGTGATTGTGAGGGGCCCACCTAATGATTAGAGAAAAGGTTGGCATCCGTGATTGTGAGGGGCCCACCTAATGATTAGAGAAAAGGTTGGCATCTGTGATTGTGAGGGGCCCACCTAATGATTAGAGAAAAGGCATCAGTGATTGTGAGGGGCCCACCTAATGATTAGAGAAAAGGTATACGTGATTGTGAGGGGCCCACCTAATGATTAGAGAAAAGGCATTCGTGATTGTGAGGGGCCCACCTAATGATTAGAGAAAAGGTTGGCATCCGTGATTGTGAGGGGCCCACCTAATGATTAGAGAAAAGGTTGGCATCAGTGATTGTGAGGGGCCCACCTAATGATTAGAGAAAAGGTTGGCATCTGTGATTGTGAGGGGCCCACCTAATGATTAGAGAAAAGGTATCCGTGATTGTGAGGGGCCCACCTAATGATTAGAGAAAAGGTTGGCATCCGTGATTGTGAGGGGCCCACCTAATGATTAGAGAAAAGGTATCAGTGATTGTGAGGGGCCCACCTATTGATTAGAGAAAAGGTATCAGTGATTGTGAGGGGCCCACCTAATGATTAGAGAAAAGGTATCCGTGATTGTGAGGGGCACACCTAATGATTAGAGAAAAGGTATCCGTGATTGTGAGGGGCACACCTAATGATTAGAGAAAAGGTTGGCATCCGTGATTGTGAGGGGCCCACCTAATGATTAGAGAAAAGGTATCCGTGATTGTGAGGGGCCCACCTAATGATTAGAGAAATATCAAAACGATCATCATAAAATTCCAATTTGTAAAAGTCTGGATGCCCCACTTCCCTCCACCTCTGTGGCCGTACCTTTCATGTAGCAGACAGGACCAGGGTGAGCGCCAGCAGACTCCGGCCCTACAACAAACATGCCTGACCTGAAGAACAGCTGAGAGCCACCCCCTGCAGCCACTGTGTTGATGTCCAGCTGGAAAACAGGGCAGCGTGGGGTCAAAGGTCAGATCAATGCCACAGATGGAAATTGTTATAATTGTTTTTTAACACACTAAGTCTAAGAAAATAAATAAGAGCTAGATTGGTAGATAGAGGAGATGGAATTTGTTAGAATTGATTTTAAACATTAAGGCTTAGAAAATAAATAAGAGCTAGATTGGTAGATAGAGAAGGAGGTTTTATTTGACCTGGGGAGCTTGTATGGTGACCCCAGCTGTTGTGGTCTCAAACACATGTTCGTAGTCACCAGCAAACCTGCTGACATCAGTGGAGGTACCTGAGGGAGGGTCAATGATGGGGGTCATGTGTCAAATATTGAGGGTGGGGCAATGATGGGGGTCATGTGTCAATGATGGGGGTCATGTGTCAAATACTGAGGGTGGGTCCTATGACAGGGGTCATGTGTCAAATACTGAGGGTGGGTCAATGATGGGGGTCATGTGTCAAATACTGAGGGTGGGGCAATGATGGGGGTCATGTGTCAAATACTGAGGGTGGGGCAATGATGGGGGTGGGGCAATGATGGGGGTCAAGTGTCAAATACTGAGGGTGGGTCAATGATGGGGGTCATGTGTCAAATACTGAGGGTGGGGCAATGATGGGGGTCATGTGTCAAATATTGAGGGTGGGGCAATGATGGGGGTCAAGTGTCAAATACTGAGGGTGGGTCAATGATGGGGGTCATGTGTCAAATACTGAGGGTGGGGCAATGATGGGGGTCATGTGTCAAATATTGAGGGTGGGGCAATGATGGGGGTCAAGTGTCAAATACTGAGGGTGGGTCAATGATGGGGGTCATGTGTCAAATACTGAGGGTGGGGCAATGATGGGGGTCAAGTGTCAAATACTGAGGGTGGGGCAATGATGGGGGTCAAGTGTCAAATACTGAGGGTGGGTCAATGATGGGGGTCATGTGTCAAATACTGAGGGTGGGTCAATGATGGGGGTGGGGCAATGATGGGGGTCATGTGTAAATGATGGGGGTCATGTGTCAATGATGGGGGTCAAGTGTAAATGATGGGGGTCATGTGTCAATGATGGGGGTCAAGTGTCAAATACTGAGGGTGGGGCAATGATGGGGGTCTTGTGTCAAATACTGAGGGTGGGTCAATGATGGGGGTCAAGTGTCAAATACTGAGGGTGGGGCAATGATGGGGGTCAAGTGTCAAATACTGAGGGTGGGTCAATGATGGGGGTGGGGCAATGATGGGGGTCAAGTGTCAAATACTGAGGGTGGGGCAATGATGGGGGTCAAGTGTCAAATACTGAGGGTGGGTCAATGATGGGGGTCATGTGTCAAATACTGAGGGTGGGGCAATGATGGGGGTCATGTGTCAAATACTGAGGGTGGGGCAATGATGGGGGTCAAGTGTCAAATACTGAGGGTGGGGCAATGGTGGGGGTCATGTGTCAAATACTGAGGGTGGGGCAATGATGGGGGTCTTGTGTCAAATACTGAGGGTGGGGCAATGATGGGGGTCATGTGTCAAATATTGAGGGTGGGGCAATGATGGGGGTCATGTGTCAAATATTGAGGGTGGGGCAATGATGGGGGTCATGTGTCAAATACTGAGGGTGGGTCAATGATGGGGGTGGGGCAATGATGGGGGTCATGTGTCAAATACTGAGGGTGGGTCAATGATGGGGGTGGGGTAATGATGGGGTCAAGTGTCAAATACTGAGGGTGGGGCAATGATGAGAGAAAAACACAGATGTAAAGAAAGTTTCTAACACTTGCTCAGACAGACAGCTGAGCATTTTGAAAAACATATTTAAAAATTGGCCTTATTACATCAGTACTACGTATCTTTTAAAATCTGTATGTTTTATCTTTCCATACAATAACTGATGTGCTTCCTAAAAAAGATATTTCAAATGGCCTGTGAGAATTACCTCCCATATCAAAGCCAATGACAGGAACTTTGGTATCCTTGCAGTATGTAGTCTCAGCGTACCCCACCACACCCCCAGCAGGGCCAGACAGTATAGCATGAGAACCCATGAAACTGAAACAGTTGTAGCAACACATCAACTAAACATCAAAGAGCTGTAACATCAACTAAACATCAAACAGTGGTAGCAACACATCAACTAAACATCAAAGAGCTGTAACATCAACTAAACATCAAAGAGCTGTAACATCAACTAAACATCAAAGAGCTGTAACATCAACTAAACATCAAACAGTGGTAGCAACACATCAACTAAACATCAAAGAGCTGTAACATCAACTAAACATCAAAGAGCTGTAACATCAACTAAACATCAAAGAGCTGTAACATCAACTAAACATCAAACAGTGGTAGCAACACATCAACTAAACATCAAAGAGCTGTAACATCAACTAAACATCAAACAGCTGTAACATCAACTAAACATCAAACAGCTGTAACATCAACTAAACATCAAACAGTTGTAGCATCACATCAACTAAACATCAACTAAACATCAAAGAGCTGTAACATCAACTAAACATCAAACACTCTGGTCAATACCTTTCCATTGGTGTCAGTCCCCCATCTGATTGCATAAATAATATCTTGGCACCCTGAAATGGTTAACCAAAAACAGTATTTTTACAATATACTATCATCAATATAGTATATGAATATTCAAGAATTCTGTAACATAAATGTATTGCAGATCTATCAGATAAAGAGCCAATGATTACCTGTAAGCCTGTTCTAAAGCCATCAACATATTTCTTGATACAAGGAGTTAAATAGGCATCAGCACACGCTGTGGAAAACAAGGTTTTATAGAGAATAGCTCTAGAATCACTTTAAATATATAATACAATATAATACAACAAAATGTATTGTGGCAGAGATTATTCTTAAAAGTAGCAGTTCCAAAGATGGTTACAATGCAAGCTAGATTTAAAATATAAATTACCTGTGTACCCTCTAGGCACAATACGCGCCATCGACATGACCTTAGATGACAGCGAGACATTTGTAAAGCCAATTTCTTGTGCAAGTTTGCCTATAAGTTCTTCATGACCTGAATAGCTGCAAGTATTTTATTCTACAGGTTGGTAGCACAAACACAATGTACACACACTTAACAGAACGAGATGACCTTAGTTAACTAACATCACCAGTTTAGCTCCCATCACAAAATAACATCATGAAAGGATGGCAGACATACATGTAAGAGTGCATGAGCACTACAACCAGACAACACAAGATGGCAGACATACATGTAAGAGTGCATGACAACACAAGATGGCAGACATACATGTAAGAGTGCATGACAACACAAGATGGTAGACATACATGTAAGAGTGCATGACAAGATGGCAGACATACATGTAAGAGTGCATGACAACACAAGATGGTAGACATACATGTAAGAGTGCATGACAAGATGGCAGACATACATGTAAGAGTGCATGACAACACAAGATGGTAGACATACATGTAAGAGTGCATGACAAGATGGCAGACATACATGTAAGAGTGCATGACAACACAAGATGGTAGACATACATGTAAGAGTGCATGACAAGATGGCAGACATACATGTAAGAGTGCATGACAAGATGGCAGACATACATGTAAGAGTGCATGACAAGATGGCAGACATACATGTAAGAGTGCATGAGCACTACCGCTAGACTTCTGATGCCTTTCTCCAGGACCACCCTTAAATCCAGCTCCAACTGGCCCAGGTTCAGTGGCTTCCATGTATCCAGCTGAAATTAAAATCATTCCATTTTTTATTTGTTCTGTTCTGCATTTAGTTTACAAAAAGGTATTTGATTATTTGTTCTAAGATAAACACCAGTGTACCAGTTCCCCTGTGACTCCTGTAACTGTACCCATGTGTTTCTTAAGTTGACAATCTTCTCGTCTCAGCACCAGCCTCTCTTCCACTTCAATCACTTCCTCATACAAGTTTTCTGGGCTCACAATTTCCTGCAAAATTCAATTATATGGTTATAACATTTACATTTTTAAAAACTATTTAGTAGTGTTGATGTATGACACAATTTTAAGTGTTTGGGCAAACAATGTAGTGATGTTGAAAACCCAGAATGTTGATTTGTAATAATTTTGAAAAAAAGTAATAATATAATTTTTTTTTTAAATTGAGGCTCCAGAAAATAGATGGAGTCACATGAATCTGCTTGCAGTATAGGAACAAGCTAAAAATACTTTAGTCACTGAAACAGAATTTGGTCTGCTTCATGTTTGTTTTACATCAACATTTTAAAATAACATTGAAAATTACATTTGAAACTATGTTTTTTTTTTGAAAGTATAAAACTTTAACATTTGGAAACCACAAAGAACTGAGTATGCTGGATAGTTGCATCCCTGTGTTCCACAGAATGAAGAGAAATTGTTTGAGTTGCTGTTTTGATGGTTGCTTTTTAAAAATTGCTAACTGTGCTAAAGAGAGTAAAAACAAAAAGGTACTATTGACAAGAAGGTCTAGTAGGCCTGAATGTTTTTTAAAGTTGTTGTACTGTTGTTAACTGACAGCTATTCTATACGACCATCATCATTCCTGTGGGCCCCTTGTGGAGCATTCTATACAAGCACCCATGGAATTTTAAAAAATCAAATCAATTACCATGTCAATGATGTTAGGACGAGACTGATTAAAAAATCTAATCAATTACCAAGTCAAAGATGTTAGGACGAGACTGATTAAAAAATCAAATCAATTACCAAGTCAAAGATGTTAGGACGAGACTGATTAAAAAATCAAATCAATTACCAAGTCAAAGATGTTAGGACGAGACTGATTAAAAAATCAAATCAATTACCAAGTCAAAGATGTTAGGACGAGACTGATTAAAAAATCAAATCAATTACCAAGTCAAAGATGTTAGGACGAGACTGATTAAAAAATCAAATCAATTACCAAGTCAAAGATGTTAGGACGAGACTGATTAAAAAATCAAATCAATTACCAAGTCAAAGATGTTAGGACGAGACTGATTAAAAAATCAAATCAATTACCAAGTCAAAGATGTTAGGACGAGACTGATTAAAAAATCAAATCAATTACCAAGTCAAAGATGTTAGGACGAGACTGATTAAAAAATCAAATCAATTACCAAGTCAAAGATGTTAGGACGAGACTGATTAAAAAATCTAATCAATTACCAAGTCAAAGATGTTAGGACGAGACTGATTAAAAAATCAAATCAATTACCAAGTCAAAGATGTTAGGACGAGACTGATTAAAAAATCAAATCAATTACCAAGTCAAAGATGTTAGGACGAGACTGATTAAAAAATAAAATCAATTACCAAGTCAAAGATGTTAGGACGAGACTGATTAAAAAATCAAATCAATTACCAAGTCAAAGATGTTAGGACGAGACTGATTCCCAATGTGCAGCAAATCTCTGAACCCTTTTGTTATCACCAGTGCCATCCGTTCACCTTTTCTTTCCAGCAAGGCATTAGTGGCAACTGTAGTTCCCATCCTTATCCAGCTTATAAGAGAAGTATCAATGGGTGTTGTCTTTGTTGGCAATGAACCCATTTCCTGAGGAATTTATTTTTCCATTTTATTGAATAGCTGCTTTATTAAAATTGCTATAAATTGCAACCTCATAGAATATGAATTATTCCTAATCAAATTCTCACTATAATATTATTGACAAAAAAATAACCTTTTTTAAAATCATGTTAAAATTTATATTGTCAGTGTTACTGGTCCAATTCCAATGCTAACACACAAAGTACAGTTAAGCCGTGGAGTAATATTTTATAGTACTAGCAAAATATGCAGTGTTCTGTAGTCAAGAGTGGCATTAAAATAATTCTAATTCTAGTTCAAGGCCTAGTATTCTATCTAGTTCCTTGTCTAGATGGTAGACCGTGCTAGATCTACAATCTAACTCTAGCAGGGTAGGAGTAGGCCTGAATATATACAGTTTTGAAATATTAAACTAATATAATTTAGCATTAATTTATTAATTGATTAAAATAATAGTTAAATCAATGATGCATACTTGATGGATAATTCTGCGTATTGCTTCTTTTGGTGCATCGTCATAGTTAGCAGGATCTTCAGACAATAACTTCATTAAACGAATTTTTCCGCTGGGACATTTGGCCCATACATCAGTAAATGTGCCACCTCTGTCAATGGCAAACTGAAATTTCCCATCACCAGACATGGTCGATCTCTATTCTTTAACTCTTGAGTAGAATCTGGACAACTGTATTTATGTACAGAAAGTTAGAAACTAAGTAAACTGTAAAGTTTAAAATACAAATCTCAATGGTAAGGGGTCGTCCATAAATGACGTCACACTTGTAGTGCGGAGGTCTGTAATTTTGTGACGGTGTGTGATGAGGGGGGGGGGGGGGGGGGTTCAGGTGGTGCGACGTCAGACTTTTCCATTATAAAATAGCAATGTTAGAAAATGAATTTTAGACGTTATTTCACGTTTTAGAAAACTGTTTTAATAAATTGTATTAGAAATTGATTAAAATACTCTATTTTGACAGAGTTCAGATAAGATTTTGGAAAAATATCAATGTTTTAAAAAAAATTCAACTGCAATTTTGAGGGGGGGTTGTAGGCTGAGGTGTGACGTCCTTTTAGGGGGGTATGGCTTTTTGTGACAATGTGAATGTGTGACGGAGGAGGGGTAAAAATCGTCAAAAAATGTGTGACGTCATTTATGGATGACCCCTGCCCTAGGGGATCCAAAGGGTCGATTCTAAATAGTAAATAAAAAAATATCATCCTTAAAAATAAATTATTATATTACTGAATACTAGATCTAGAATCTATACTGTTGTAACTGTTTTTGTTTACTAAAAAGTTAAAAACTCAGCCTTATTTATAAGTAAATAAGTTATAAGTTGGTAATCTATCGTTTTGGGTACGTAAAATCGCCCGCGGCTATTAATGTACGAAAAAGTTACCTCATTGTCAAGGCTTTAGTAGAAGTATATTGTGATATATTTGTGTCAAATATTATAGATAAATGAATAATAAAACTAAATCAATGGCTAAATATATCAATATATGCCAGAAATTTACTTTAAACAGCAGTGTTTGCGAGCAAGATTTGCTATATAAATAGCAGCCATTTGTAAAATAGAGTGACTTCCGCCTGTCTCGCGCTATATCCGCTATAAAAAAAACTTAAACAAGATGGCTGCTATAGTAAATGAGCATGGTTGCATCTGTTGGAAATATCGCTAGTCTTCATTTATTACTGAAAAGTTTTAATTCAATTGTTTAAAAACAGGTACATAAATGAAAGAAGGAAACATTTTTGTATTTTTCAAAACATAAATCCTCCTCAAAATGTGAAATAATTATTAAAATTTAAGGAGTCACCTGTTTTTCACATTACTAGTCGCGGGCGATTTTACGTACCCAAAACGATAGATTACCTATAAGTTATATATATTTTATAAGTCAATATAATAAAATATAATTGAATATAAGTTGTTTGCGAGCAAGATACTTGATTCTAGAATTTAGAACTAAGTAATTTTTAACAACTAGAGTCTAGTTCGAATTATAATTATATTATAGCGGCATTATTCTTTCTAGATCTAGATCTAGAATTTAGATCTCTATAACATCAACAGTCATTAAACAGAGTAATGGTGCAAATATTTTAAACTTTTACTTTTGAACTTTAGATATTCTAGGCCTGGTAATGCTGATATTATTATCTAACAGATTTTACGTGCTGCAAACTTGAACTGATAGCTGCTGAACTGAATAGTATGTTGACTTGATTTCAAACTACATTTCGCCAGGTAGGCTTAGGCTATGCATGCCTATTAGAGTTTCAATGAATAAAATATAGGCTAAGTACTTGACTGTAAAGATGATTAGATGAAACTACTCCATTAAAATAACAAATTAATCTGAGATACTGAATGGCTGAGGTTGTAACTATCTCAAAACGTACAAAAAAATTCAATTTCATAATAAAATGAATTTAAAAAGTAAGGATCAAGAAATGTGCCTGTCCAAAGGTGTGTGAAGAAACAAAAATAATGTTTATTTAGGCATCTATATATATCGGTACAGCTCAAACTAACAAATTGCTGGTGCGGGAAAGAAATTATTAATAATAAAGCAGTGGTTCCCAAACGTTTTCGAATGGCGAACCCCTTTTATAAAAATTCAGTGACCTGCGACCCCCATAGAATTAAAAAGTCGAAATTAGTAAGGACATTAACCAGTGCTAAAATTGGAATTTCTGGTAGACTTTCAATGTAAATTATTATTGATAACTGTTTTAATACGATGAGAAAAAAATTGCATGCTATTAAATAGCTTCGACATTCGCGGTTGAGGTTTTGTTAACGCTAACCTCATGTCATTCTTAACATTTAATTTATTTATTTGTTTTGGTTTTAATTGGAGAAGTGTTGAAAATCTAATCTCGCAAAGATATGTAGACACAAACGGAACTAAAACTCAAAAGGCAATCAATTTCACGTTTGGGTATGAATGGTGCATACTACACCAAAATTTGGTGATCAGCTTTTCATCTGACGCGGAATCATTCCTCACATTTAAGAATGCATCTTGTAATTCACTGGGAATGCTCGCAACATCAAGGGAAGAAGAGGATGGGTACCGTGTCAATGCAGATTCTTCTTCTTTCAGCCAGAGGCGTAGCGACCCTTCCCGGCGCCCGGGGACAAACTTTCGATTTGCCCCCCCCCCCTCGAACTTTTCATTTGCACCCCCCCCCCCTCAAACTTTCGATTTGCACCCCCCTCAAACTTTCAATTTGGCGCCCCCTAAGGTCGGTGCCCGGGGACATGTGTGTCCCCCCCCTCGCTACGCCTCTGCTTTCAGCTCAGAGATAACGCCGCAGTTCGATGCTAAGAGATTCAAGATACCCAGAAATCTGCTCTTTCAAATTTGTATTTACCTCACAGTCATACTCACCAAACATGGCAATATTATTACAAGATTTATTTTTCTTCGCCAATTTTGAAGCTTTGATAATCATGAAAAGAGATAATAGCGTAGCCAGCGTACTGTAATGTAGAAAAGCATAACCTCGTGATCTTTATTCATATCTTTGCATAGTTCTTTAAACATCATGTTTTATGCGGATACACTGAAAATTCTAGTAAAAAATTACCGAAATAAAGTGTTGTTCCACTTCTCACCATTCTCCCATAGATACATATATATATATATATATATATATATATATATATATATATATATATATATATATATATATATATATATATATATATATATATGTATGTATGTATGTATATATACATATACATATATATATATATATATATATATATATATATATATATATATATATATATATATATATATATATATATATATATATATTATTCAGGAAACTGCTTCCATTTCCATCTCACTTAATAATCTATCATTGGGGATAGTGTTAAGCTAGTGGATGCCTTTCTCAAGCTCTTAGTTTGGATAGATCTGCTGGTGGCAGTTGTTGCTTTCCAGGATTCTTTGCCATACAGTAGGAAGCTAAGGACATTGCTGACTTTTGAAAAGTCTACATTTTGTCTTGGAGGAAATTTTTTCTGGCTACCACTGGTCCTCTTGTTTCTGATCGGGCCGATTAGCTTGTCCAAGTGAGGACTAACTATGCTGGTGCACCATAAAACGGCCCAGGACAAAACGTCAATATGACCCCGTCAAATCGATCCCCGACAAAACGATCCAGTCAAAAAAGCCCCGTCAAAAGTGCCCCGACATATTGGCTCTCGTCAAATGTGCTCCCTTCATATTAACTTGCGAAAGATAGGGCTCCCGAGCCCGATATTTAGACTCCCGATATATTGGCTACCGACAAATAGGTTCAGGACATATGGCTCCCGACAAATAGGTTCAGGACATATGGCTCCCGACAAATAGGTTCAGGACATATGGCTCCCGACAAATAGGTTCAGGACATATGGCTCCCGACAAATAGGTTCAGGACATATGGCTCCCGACAAATAGGTTCAGGACATATGGCTCCCGACAAATAGGTTCAGGACATATGGCTCCCGACAAATAGGTTCAGGACATATGGCTCCCGACAAATAGGTTCCGGACATATGGCTCACGACAAATAGGTTCAGGACATATGGCTCCCGACAAATAGGTTCAGGACATATGGCTCCCGACAAATAGGTTCAGGACATATGGCTCCCGACAAATAGGTTCAGGACATATGGCTCCCGACAAATAGGTTCAGGACATATGGCTCCCGACAAATAGGTTCAGGACATATGGACCCCGACAAATAGGTTCAGGACATATGGCTCCCGACAAATAGGTTCAGGACATATGGACCCCGACAAATAGGTTCAGGACATATGGCTCCCGACAAATAGGTTCAGGACATATGGCTCCCGACAAATAGGTTCAGGACATATGGCTCCCGACAAATAGGTTCAGGACATATGGACCCCGACAAATAGGTTCAGGACATATGGCTCCAGACAAATAGGTTCAGGACATATGGCTCCCGACAAATAGGTTCAGGACATATGGCTCCCGACAAACAGGTTCAGGACATATGGCTACCGACAAATAGGTTCAGGACATATGGCTCCCGACAAATAGGTTCAGGACATATGGCTCCAGACAAATAGGTTCAGGACATATGGCTCCCGACAAATAGGTTCAGGACATATGGCTACCGACAAATAGGTTCAGGACATATGGCTCCCGACAAATAGGTTCAGGACATATGGCTCCCGACAAATAGGTTCAGGACATATGGCTCCCGACAAATAGGTTCAGGACATATGGCTCCCGACAAATAGGTTCAGGACATATGGCTCCCGACAAATAGGTTCAGGACATATGGCTCCCGACAAATAGGTTCAGGACATATGGCTCCCGACAAATAGGTTCAGGACATATGGCTCCCGACAAATAGGTTCAGGACATATGGCTCCCGACAAATAGGTTCAGGACATATGCTTCCAGACAAATAGGTTCAGGACATATGGCTCCAGACAAATAGGTTCAGGACATATGGCTCCCGACAAATAGGTTCAGGACATATGGCTCCCGACAAATAGGTTCAGGACATATGGCTCCCGAAAAATAGGTTCAGGACATATGGCTCCCGACAAATAGGTTCAGGACATATGGCTCCCGACAAATAGGTTCAGGACATATGGACCCCGACAAATAGGTTCAGGACATATGGCTACCGACAAATAGGTTCAGGACATATGGCTCCCGACAAATAGGTTCAGGACATATGGCTCCCGACAAATAGGTTCAGGACATATGGCTCCCGACAAATAGGTTCAGGACATATGGCTCCCGACAAATAGGTTCAGGACATATGGCTACCGACAAATAGGTTCAGGACATATGGCTCCCGACAAATAGGTTCAGGACATATGGCTCCCGACAAATAGGTTCAGGACATATGGACCCCGACAAATAGGTTCAGGACATATGGCTACCGACAAATAGGTTCAGGACATATGGCTCCCGACAAATAGGTTCAGGACATATGGCTCCCGACAAATAGGTTCCGGACATATGGCTCACGACAAATAGGTTCAGGACATATGGCTCCCGACAAATAGGTTCAGGACATATGGCTCCCGACAAATAGGTTCAGGACATATGGCTCCCGACAAATAGGTTCAGGACATATGGCTCCCGACAAATAGATTCAGGACATATGGCTCCCGACAAATAGGTTCAGGACATATGGCTACCGACAAATAGGTTCAGGACATATGGCTACCGACAAATAGGTTCAGGACATATGGACCCCGACAAATAGGTTCAGGACATATGGCTCCCAACAAATAGGTTCAGGACATATGGCTCCCGACAAATAGGTTCAGGACATATGGCTCCCGACAAATAGGTTCAGGACATATGGCTCCCGACAAATAGGTTCAGGACATATGGCTCCCGACAAATAGGTTCAGGACATATGGACCCCGACAAATAGGTTCAGGACATATGGCTACCGACAAATAGGTTCAGGACATATGGCTCCAGACAAATAGGTTCAGGACATATGGCTCCCGACAAATAGGTTCAGGACATATGGCTCCCGACAAATAGGTTCAGGACATATGGCTCCCGACAAATAGGTTCGGGACATATGGCTCCCGACAAATAGGTTCAGGACATATGGCTCCCGACAAATAGGTTCAGGACATATGGCTCCCGACAAATAGGTTCAGGACATATGGCTCCCGACAAATAGGTTCAGGACATATGGCTCCCGACAAATAGGTTCAGGACATATGGACCCCGACAAATAGGTTCAGGACATATGGCTCCCGACAAATAGGTTCAGGACATATGGACCCCGACAAATAGGTTCAGGACATATGGCTCCCGACAAATAGGTTCAGGACATATGGCTCCCGACAAATAGGTTCAGGACATATGGCTCCCGACAAATAGGTTCGGGACATATGGCTCCCGACAAATAGGTTCAGGACATATGGCTCCCGACAAATAGGTTCAGGACATATGGCTCCCGACAAATAGGTTCAGGACATATGGCTCCCGACAAATAGGTTCAGGACATATGGACCCCGACAAATAGGTTCAGGACATATGGCTACCGACAAATAGGTTCAGGACATATGGCTCCCGACAAATAGGTTCAGGACATATGGCTCCCGACAAATAGGTTCAGGACATATGGCTCCCGACAAATAGGTTCAGGACATATGGCTCCCGACAAATAGGTTCAGGATATATGGCTCCCGACAAATAGGTTCAGGACATATGGCTCCCGACAAATAGGTTCAGGACATATGGCTCCCGACAAATAGGTTCGGGACATATGGCTCCCGACAAATAGGTTCAGGACATATGGCTCCCGACAAATAGGTTCAGGACATATGGCTCCCGACAAATAGGTTCAGGACATATGGCTCCCGACAAATAGGTTCAGGACATATGGACCCCGACAAATAAAGTTCAGGACATATGGCTACCGACAAATAGGTTCAGGACATATGGCTCCCGACAAATAGGTTCAGGACATATGGCTCCCGACAAATAGGTTCAGGACATATGGCTCCCGACAAATAGGTTCAGGACATATGGCTCCCGACAAATAGGTTCAGGACATATGGCTCCCGACAAATAGGTTCAGGACATATGGCTCCCGACAAATAGGTTCAGGACATATGGCTCCCGACAAATAGGTTCAGGATATATGGCTCCCGACAAATAGGTTCAGGACATATGGCTCCCGACAAATAGGTTCAGGACATATGGCTCCCGACAAACAGGTTCGGGACATATGGCTCCCGACAAATAGGTTCAGGACATATGGCTCCCGACAAATAGGTTCGGGACATATGGCTCCCGACAAATAGGTTCAGGACATATGGCTCCCGACAAATAGGTTCAGGACATATGGCTCCCGACAAATAGGTTCAGGACATATGGCTCCCGACAAATAGGTTCAGGACATATGGCTCCCGACAAATATGTTCAGGACATATGGCTCCCGACAAATAGGTTCAGGACATATGGCTCCCGACAAATAGGTTCAGGACATATGGCTCCCGACAAATAGGTTCAGGACATATGGCTCCCGACAAATAGGTTCAGGACATATGGCTCCCGACAAATAGGTTCAGGACATATGGCTACCGACAAATAGGTTCAGGACATATGGCTCCCGACAAATAGGTTCAGGACATATGGCTCCCGACAAATAGGTTCAGGACATATGGCTCCCGACAAATAGGTTCAGGACATATGGCTCCCGACAAATAGGTTCAGGACATATGGCTCCCGACAAATAGGTTCAGGACATATGGCTCCCGACAAATAGGTTCAGGACATATGGCTCCCGACAAATAGGTTCAGGACATATGGCTCCCGACAAATAGGTTCAGGACATATGGCTCCCGACAAATAGGTTCAGGACATATGGCTCCCGACAAATAG